ACCTGCTCCTCTCCTCCAGCATTAGGTGTTTTCATAGTCGAGGGGTCCAGGACAAGGAAGAAACTTAAACATGAAGGAAACTAAAAGCGCATAACATATTAAGAAAGAGGAAGACGAGCAGATTCGAATGAGTACAAACATGAATATATCAATTGGGAAACAAGGCTCGACTTCTGCATAAAAAAAATTTCGTCGGGCTATCAGGAGAAGATTCCGGAAATTAAAATTTTTCGAAAACTTTCCAGAAAAAAACGTAAGCGCATACCATCAGTCGATAGAGAATGGAAAGCCAATCCGAATGAATATAAACATGAAATTGTCACTAAGTAAACAAAGCACAAGATGGGAAAAATAATTTTGATCGCCCGAAAAAGAGAGAGATCGAGAAAAAAAAACTTTACTCGCTATCATCGAGAAACTATAATCAGTGAGGGCTCAAAAAAATGAATTGAGACAGTGTAAACATGAAAGAAATATACGAGAAAAGGAAAGAAACAATGAAGATTGCGAGCTTAGAACTCAGTTGACCACGTTTCCAAAAGGGAACCACAGCGTCTTTCATTTTTTCACACCAAATAGAACAGGGCATAACTAATAATAAGTTCAATTCAAAGTGAAGGTTGATCATATACTACAAACAAGGATAAACAAGAAGATCAACGGAATGTTACGCAATGGAGGGAATGCTTCAACAATCGAGAAATCAGCTTCAACTAGAACAAAACTAGAAACGATAGCACAATGAGGAAGAACATGGGAAACTGAATGAAAATAGTATCAACGAGCAGAAGCAAATGTAAAAGAGAGTTAAGTGAACCTCCGTTGAGCTCAAAAGGGAACAACCGACTTTTCCATTTTTTCGTTCAAAAATGAAAATCTCTTTTTTCTTTTAGCTTAATATTGAGAATTCAAATTGCATAACATAAGCGATAATATAAGGACTCGGACAAGAAATCAATCGATAGTCTGTAAGTTGACAATAGTAGGAGTAATTTGGAAAAATCGATGAAAACGGAGGAAATGAGAGTGAGTTCAGACTACAACACCTAACTACAAAGAATGGCATATGACACTAATTCTACAACAAAACTTTTTTACGGCTGTTTAGCTGCACATTAATGAATATGCATGTATTAGACCGTTCAAGGAGCTTTTTCTCAGCCAATTCAAAATTTATTGCATGAAATTTCAATTCCAATCACCTGATAAGTATCATATTTGAATTTAAAATCAAATTTCGATATAAAATGATCTAAAAAAGATCTGATTTCACGCTTTCAGAGTAGAGTTATAGCTTTTTACCTGAAGAGAACGACCGGATCATTTTTTTTTTTTGAACGCAAAAATTATTTTCCACGTGACGTGTTTCCGAGGGGTATATAAGCCGTGGGGCATCTGGATCAAGTCAGTTGGCGGTGTGAGCCTGTGAGCTACGCTCCTCTCTCTCTGGAGGTACTCCAGAGAGAGGGAAAAAAGCTCATCGGCTCACTAGCCAGGGTTAAGGTCTATGTAAATCCGGCTCCGATCTCTCAAGCACCGAAAGGCTGCATTCCATAATAAACTGTCCAGTACGTTTGCATTCTGAATATCCGAAACACATCTTGAAATGTTAAAGTAGGACAAAGATATTTGCTTTCGGGATCATTCTCCTCTGTAGTGAAGCAGAGTGGAGCAAAATAACTTTTTATTAAGAATAAAACATTTCAATAATCTAACATTAACAGAGTATATAAATATAGATTGGAGAGAAAGGCTCGAGTACACGTAACAACACATTGCAAGTGCGCAGTTAGTATTATAAACTATCACAAGTCGCACAATGCATTGATGACTGAAATTAAACAAAGTCTTCAAAAGTGGAAGTAAGCAGCGTCATAAGGTTTCATCGCTGTTTAAGTAAGCATTCACCATCAGTCAACTGAATACCAGACAACGGAAAAATGAATGAATAAGATAACAAACAATCGAAATACGTACCTCCATCACAATTTAATTTGAAACTCTTATCAAAGTTCCATAAACAGACAGAATTCGTTAGCGTTCATTTCAACCTAAGAAACAGCTACGCGTCTGAAAGCTTCTCAACTAGCCGTTAACGCAAAAGCTACTCCTTTAAAACTGCCACCAACATAGCAATCAGCATGAATTCTAACTTCTTGATCATTACACGAAGAGAAGCTTAGTGTCCAGTGACGCACATTCTGAAATAATCAATCGTCTTGGTGAGCATGACCTTGTGACATCCTGAAACAACTGGACTTCAAGAAGCAATTACAGAGCGACATTCAATGTCATACAAGCCACCAGATATGAATGGTACAATTGTGAAAACAAATCTATTTATTAGTTAACTCTTCATTATCAATTTTCAAGCAACTTTTAGCTTTAGCTCCTATGCCGGTCCATAATAGAATATTGACGCGATATAACAATGAGCCAATACGAAGCCCAGTACAAAACGATGAAACTTTGAATGAGAGTCATAGGTGCCAATGTTTTGGATCGCTTGATGTTGATGTAAAGATTGAACAGACTCAAGAACAGAGCAACAGAATGCATAAGGAAAATATTCAAAGAAAAAAAAATATGTCGCATGTTAATCACGAATATGGTTAAAAGGAGGATGTTAAGAGGTGTGATCAGTAGAGTTACACACTGCATGAACTTGTCGAGGGCAGGGATATTCTGGCTATGACGAGCGTAGTATATCAACTGATAGAGAGATCTAGAACAAATGAGAATGAGTTTATATGTTGATAGCTTACCTGACTGTTCCGTAGAGTACTGCAACGGAACCAATTAATACACCTTGAAACATCAAATCCCAAGGTTCAATTTTCGATGATATACTCACACCAAGTACCACACAAATCACCAACGAAGTCATCTCTATGAAAAGCACTGCAAAAAATTTTTTCATGGATTCCAGGTAAGTTGCAAACCTGATAGAAAAATCATGGCTATCCAATCACAGGCTTTGATGAGTCTGTTTGGGTGACTACTCTCCGCTTCTTCAGAGTTACTCAACAGAGGATCTCCTCTTCTCTCCAAATCATAGCCGTCATTGCAGTATCCCTTTGCTTCGCAATTCTCCTTTT